TGCTTTTTCTAAGGTTTCTCGGCCTCGTTCTTGATCTTGGCCTCCTCTGCTTGCTTCATCCATACTGGCTTCGTCGCTGACGTTGCTATTGCTCGATCCGCCATCGATTGCGACGAAACCCTAGAAATCGAGGAAGGGAGAAGGGAGACTAATCGAATCTAGGGTTTCGAGAGGGATAGAGGGGAGGATTGAGTTCCAGCACGTAATAAATTATTTATTTATTTTAATTAAATAGCTACAACTCGGAAACGGAGAAGATATTTTCTCACGCTCAACGTTTATATGGACCTGTTCATAGTTTGTTGGATTGGAAAAAGGCCGCAACACTAAATGTTATTGGGCCTCTCACGTCTTGGGCCGCGCTCAAATGCTCCCGATTTTTCTCTTTTTAACCTCTCACTTGTTTTAGAATGACCCGTTAGTACATAGCTATCGAAAAACGCTCTTTGAAGAATTCCTACGAGTTTCTCATGTCAAATTCGACTTTTTTTTTATCCTTTTGTTTGCTTAAATCGAAATTTAACCCATGCATGCTTTGTTTTTTACAGGGTTATTTCGTTCGCATCCCGAAAATTAAGTTCGGTACAAAAGAATGAGACGTGAGAATTATTATTTCATTCCTACTCATTCCTGCATACTCAACGAACCCTATATAACTACCGTGAAAAAATGACTGAGAGTATGTAAGTACGGGGAAACATTATGGTATTTAAGCGCCAATTCGCCATGCAATCACCCCCAATATTTAAAAAAAATTATATCACCTAGCTAGCTCATTGTCCTCACAGCGGGCCCAATAATACTCATGGGCTTGATTCGGTCCAAACCATCGTGTTAGGACCGACCGACCAAGAGGAAAATAGGCCCGCGAGCCCTAAACACGTTACCGTATCAAACGATAAATACCAACCTCACCGGCGAATCGCCACCCAAAAATTCGCTCCCCAACGCCGGACCCGCCTTCCGCTCACCCAAACCAAAGCGGGTTTCGCGAAAAGAGCGTCCCGTTAGATTTTACCTATACATGGAAAGTTTTAAATTCAGACAATTAAATCCCGAGCAAATCTTGTTCATTTTCTCTCCCCTGCATGCGTTTCTCTCCTCTCTCTCTCTCTCTCTCTCTCTCTCTCCTCCTGCGGTGCGGTGCGGTGCGGTGCTTCGATCGGTGAGAGATGGGGAATCGGAGGACGAAAAGAGACAGGGTGACCGCGGCTCTCGGGTGGGCCCGGAGGCAGCCGGTGAAGCGAAGGTGACGGCGGGGGCGGTGACCGCACTCTCTCGTCATCTCGGCGCTGAGGGCGTTCGTACCGAATCATGACCATTTCTACGTCATGGCCGAGGTCGTCCACGCGGCCGGGCTTGTTGTTCTCGCCTTCAAACTCACCCGAACAAATACTTGCTCAGGTGATCAATTCTTTGGGTGAAATTAATTAAACCCTCAACAGATTCCGAAATCCCACTAAACCCTCGATAAGTTTCCGAGCTTTGTAGACAAAACCCACTGGTGACGTCGGTTCACATTTAGGATCTAAATGGGTCACCGGCGCAAAACGTGGAGTGGGCCGGGACGGCCGGGGGGGCTTCTATACAGATCGCGGAAACTTATTGGGAGTTTTCTACAATTTCAATAGTTGTTGGGGCTTATTTTATAGGTAATTGGGTGTTTACTGCAAAACATTGAAAGTCTCTTGGGGTTTGATATTATCTACCCTATTAGAAATACTAGTATAGTGCACGTGCTTCGCACGAGAGCATGTTTTATTTTATGCTTTTTAATTTTTTTTCATGGCTACAAAAAATAAAATGACTAATATATATAGCAATATAAATTCTGAACAATTACAATTTTATTTAAATGAATAAATTGTATATAAATAATTGTATGATCAATTATAGTTTGGATAATTATTATAATTTATTAGAATAATTATAACATATTAAATAGTTTTTTTATCTTTTAAATAAATAATATTATACTTGGCATAATTATAATACTATTAGTAACTACATTTTAATTTAATAATTAGTTTATAATACTATAAGTAAATAATTTACTAAATTTTATAATTATTAAATTATAGTATAATTTATTAATTCAAATATACTATTAAATTATTATACTATTAATACTATTACAATTACAATAAATGCAAATTATGTTTCATACTATTATCATATTTTTGAAAGACTAATAAGATATAAGGTAACAGGTAGTCCTCCATAAGAGGTGAAACCCAAAGTTATAGGCATAAACCTAATGAATTTTTGTTATTTTTAATTTTTAAAGAATTTTAAGTTTTATGTGAGGATAAATTAGGGATAAAATTTCAAATTTTCTATTAAATAATAAAATAATAGTGTGACCGAAGTTTTTGAAAAAGTGAGAAAATATATAATTAATAAGAGGTCATATATAATTAGTGAATGATTAATTACAATTAATGATATATTTGAGAATTATCAAAGTTAAAGGGGTAAAAATGAAAATCAAACGTTTTAACACGACAATCCTCTTTTATATGTAGTATAGATTTGTAAAAAGTTTAGAGTGTTTATTATAAAGTTCATAAATTTTTAGGGATTGTTTGTGTTATTTGTAGGTTTTTAATGTGATTATAGGTTTAAAATTTTCAAGATATTTTTTACAAAATTTGAATTTTTAGGGGTGTTTTTGTAAATTTTAAAACTTACGAGATACTTTCTCTAAAGTAAAAAAAATTAAGTTTCTAGCTAGCATATGTTTTTTTAGATTTCTCACTGAATTGAAATAAGTAAATTTATAATTTTTAAGATATTTTAATAAAATTTTGAATTTGTATGGGTGCTTTTGCAATTTAAAAAACTTGAAGGATTTTTTATACAAAGTCCAAAAACTTTAGGTGCTGGCTAGCATATATTTTTTTGGATTTCTCTACGAACTAAAATAATAAAGGATTTAAATTATATCAAACATATCTCATTTATCTAATAACATGCTAAGTCTCATTATGAATAGGGTAAATCATTTAATTACCAATTTAAAGAAGATATGATAATTAGAACAGATTAGGATAACAATATAATATTTAAAAAAATTAAGGGTAATATTGATCATGGAAATATTTTCCCGAACTTGTACTTTAAAAGAGAGTATGATTCAAATGCGATGCGGACCATATATCTACCCGTGAAGTTTGATATATAGATAGATAGATCAGGACAGGAGAGTTGAACTTGATTTATATCTGAATTTGAATTCAAAAGTCAGGGATCTATCTAAAACATTTTAAAATAATAGGATAAATTTCTTAAAACACCTTAGCTTTGACCATTTTCATATATAAGCCTTGACTATATAATTCCGTAACACATCATTCGATATGACACTCTGATATTTACTACTTGTCTGTAATATTTCCCCGATACTAGCTCGCAATATGATATGGGTTTTGACCATCCATATTTCCCTAATGTTCGATATGTATTTCCCCGATACTAGCTCGCAATATGATATGGGTTTTGACCATCCATATTTCCCTAATGTTCGATATGTAAAACCTCTTTGTATTGAGAAGCAATTTTCTTTCTAACGTGAGGGAGACGAATCTATCATTGATCAATGCAAAGCTAACATTTCGAGGAAGATCCAAGCCTGAATTGAAAATGCCAAACTTGTAATTTCTAGCTCTATGTACGGCCAACCTGTTCCCTACAAAATTAGCTGCCCTATAAATGTGATGGATGACAAAAGACAGTGATAAATAATAAATTCATGACCTCTTTCTATGGGGAACGATATGGCCTTTTTGAGGGGGAGTGGAACCCAAAAACATATTAACCAAACCAAGAGAATTCACTTCAACTTCAACTTAAAAGATACTCGTAGCTTGGCACAAAACTAAACCCACATTTTATTATTTTGAAATTTTAATGTTTGGTCTTTCTATTAAGTGTCTATATACTTAGAGGGTACTAATTGTACGGTGGTTTCTTAAGAGAAATGCATGATGTTCTGACTCGATCGCTCTCCTCAATAGTCAAAAATTCAAACCACGAAAAGGTAGCTAATTAACTATAGAAACAACAAATGCTAAGCTTAATTTTATATCTAATCGTTCGAACCTTTTCAATGTCCTCCTCAACGATTTAGTTAATTTTGCTCGAAATTTGATATTGTTTTCCTTTTCTCCCCTTGATGTAGGTCTCTCACTGAAGTCTCAAGAGCTGACTGCAATATTCTTGGCAGTAAGATTATACTGCACTTGGATCATTGAACATGACATCCATCTAATCCTTGATTTTGCTACACTAATTGCAACCATTTGGGTTATATACATGATGCGATACAAACTGAATTCGAGCTACATGAAGGAATTGGATAATATGCCAAGATACTATACGGTAAAGGATTATCGTGCTTTTATTAGATTGCGATTTTTTTTAAAATACGAAAGCATCTTTATCTCATTTGTGAGATGCATATCATTCAAAAATATATTTCAGCGTTATATTCCTAGTTTAATCAGATGATGTATTGTGTTATTGTATATATACCATTATCTTTCGATATTTCAAACATTCATCTTTTGCTACATGGAGAAATTTTAACATACTAGATCTACTTCAGCCTCCAAAAATCTTTCAAATATTTAAACCATACATTATTTAGTAAAAGTTATTTAAGTAGACTTCAGATTTTGCAGTTTCATCAAATAATTGGGGTATATTATTTTAGTTCCTAATGAAAACTATTTTCTTGCAGATAGTTCCTTCCTTTGTTCTAGCCATATTTATACATCCTTTTATCCCCAAGATCTTATTCGGCAGAATGTTTTGGGGGTTCTGTGTATACCTCGAATCTGTATCGGTTCTTCCTCAACTTCGCTTGATGCAAAATGCAAAGGTTCGCCATTACTCATGTTTATTCACTCACTGACATGAACATTAACATACACAAACCTGTATAAAACAGAAATATATCATGCTATAGTTATGTCTGAAGGAGGTAATCTCTATGAATGAATCTGCTTTTGTAGATAGTTGAACCATTTACATCACACTATGTATTTGCACTCGGCATTGCACGATTCTTGGGCTTCGCACATTGGATAATTCAGGTACTAATTGTATTCTCTCCTTTGTTGCTACTATTATTATGCAATAATATCCTCACATTTTCGTGTCTCGCAGTTCATTGAAACTCGGGGAGCATTCTTATTTGCACCGGGGATGTTTTGGTTGCCTGCACACTTTATTGCAGAATTAATTCAAACATTCATTTTAGCTGATTTCTGCTATTACTATGTTAAAAGGTGACCTCTCTTTGGCAATATAACAATCTTCGCAGTAAATCCCTGATCGACAACCATTGGAGTCACATAAAATCTTCAATAAGTTTTTGCATTTTGTAGATAATCACCATGACTATGTTAGTCCGATCGCGAACGCAAAATATGGACTGACATCGTCATGGAGGTACTCGGCAAAAAACAAAAACTTATTGGGGGAGGTTTCTGCAATTCCAATAGTTAGAATTTTTTGGGGTTTACTGCAAAACGCTGAAAGTTCTAGGTAGTTTAGTGTAAACCCTTTAGTTTATGCATCAAATTGTATCACCAAGGAATTAATCCATGTGATTCAATCTTTTTGCAGCTGTATGTCAGGCCAAGCTTTGGTGATGCTCCCAGTGTGATAGTGATGCTGCCAGTGTCATGAATAGATGGTACTGGCCAAGCTAAAATGGATAGAGAGTTATGATTGTTTGGTTACTATCTTTAAACTTTAGGTGCATTGAGTTTAGTCAATGGAATTTTTATGGAAGTATTTGAATCCCTTTTTGTGACGAGGGCTGCCAAAAAAAATACATCAACCTTTTGCAGAAAATTTTATCTTATGTAACTCCCATGGATGAGAGCGTATGTTGGCTTAATTTCAATAAGTTTTTCTTTAAAGTTGCCTTCAGCATAAAATTCTGCTCAGTTCTCTGTGATGCCACTGTACTATTTCATATTAGTGAACACTGAAAGCAGTAGTAATTTTCTTTTGCTTTTGTTTTTTGTTTTGTTTTTTTTTCTGCATGTGTTGGAGGGTGAGTAGATGATGGCTCTGTATAATTGAAATAATCTGAAGACATCCGTGGATTTAGGATTAGGTATTTGATTTGGTTTAGGATTAGTTAATAGATTTAAAATTTTAGTTTGATCCTCTTATATTTATTTGAATTTAAAAAAATATTTGGAATTTGAATTTGAATTCAAAACTCAGCCAAAACTCCCAAAACAAAAGACCAAAAACACCCCAGCAACGGTAACAAAAATAGCCGTTGGAAGCAGAAAAAGTTACTGTCGGTCGACCGGAAATTTCATCGGTCGACCGGAAAATTTCATCGGTCGACCGGACCGGTCGACCGACAAACTCTCTGTCGCCCAGTGAACAAGAGAACTCAGGTTCGGTCGACCGGTTCGGTCGACCGAAAACTGACATATACAAAAACTGGTTTGCTGATTTTAAAATACTGTTTAAAAATATCAAATAAATTCCAAAAAATGTAAAACTTTGGGGAATGATTGTAAACATGATAATAAACATGCTACAACGACTGGTTATCAGAAAGGACCTCCCAAAAGAAAAATACCATCATTTTACAAGATAGTCCAAAACACGAAAATGCAAACATATGAATTTTGACACTTAGGCTAAACCATGTTTTGAAACTTTGCACAATGATTATGTAGACTTAATAAAATATGTATATGAATATTGTTAAGTCTAAAAACTAAGAATATGATATTTTCACAAATACATTAGAGAATGAAACATAGGAGTATGTATATGAAAATATATTTGTTTCATATCTAAGTAGTTAAACCAAATCACAATAATAAATATGAAATATATAATATATGTGACTACATATATATACAAGGAAACCAATAAATGTGTGTGTATATGATATTGAGCTTAACGTACTTAGCACACATAATATAACACCTAAACTAAAGTTACCCAAGCAATGATCTTGATCTTCATTGAGCTCAACTTGGTACACATGCGGATGAAGCTTGAACTTGATCTTTAACTTTGAATTGCAAGGCTTCACTCCACTATTCCGCCAACCTCCTCTTGATATGATCGTGTAGGCTTAATCCATCCAACCTCCAACAACGTTGTTTGTCTACAAAACATAGGAATGCACAAACACTAGACAAACAACATTATTAGTAAATTGTTTGTAAATCATCATCAAAACAAGAAGGCCAACAGTATCTTCACCGCCTAAGGTTCATCTTGCTCTTCGTCGAAGCAAACACCCACATGTCATGCATGCACGGTATGCTTCGGTTACTTCCTATCCATCTATCTTTCATAATTTTCTTCCTGTCATTCATACTACAGTTGAGCCAAAGTCCTTTCAAGAGGCCGTTTAATTTCTAGAGTGGCGACAAGCTATGGCCGAGGAATTTCAGACCTTTAAGCAAACACATACCTGGGATGTTGTTCCCTATCCCCCCGGCATATCTTTAGTTGGCAGTAAATGAGTTTATAAGGTTAAGTATCGTCCTGATGGCACCATTAAATACCGGAAAGCTCGTTTAGTGGCTCGAAGTTTTACTCAACAATAAGGTATTGATTATGAGGAGACATTTTCTCCTATTGCTCAGATGCCCACTATTCTTACTCTTCTTGCAGTCACTGCTACTCATCGTTAGCCGTTATACCAGATGGATGTCAAAAATGCTTTTCTCCATGGCTTTTTATCTGAGACAGTATATATGCAACCGCCTCTAGGGTCTAATATTCCTCTGGGACATGTATGTCTCCTTCGCTGTGCTATTATGGTCTCAAGCAGGCACCCCACACTTGGTTTGAGTGTTTTCGCGATGTCGTGCTCAAGGCGGGCTTTATGGAAAATCATCAAGATGTTTCTCTGTTTGTTCGCACTACATCGCGTGATAGAGTTTTATTACTCATCTATGTAGATGATATGATCATTACAAGTGATGATGTGGCTGATATACAGTACGTAAAATCTCAGTTGTAACAACAGATCCACATGAAGGGATCTTGGATCTCTTCGGTATTTTCTTGGTCTAGAAGTTTCTCAAGGCCTGCGTGGTGTACTACTGTCTCAACAGAAGTATCTCTCGGATATTTTAGATCGAACTGAGCTAACTGACGATGCAACTGTTGATACTTCACTCCAACAGAATGTCAAACTTCGCTCTACTGATGGTGAGCCTCTATCTGATCCTACTTGATATCGACATCTTGTTGGCCAGTTGGTCTATCTGTGTATCTCTCGACCAGATATCTCTCATGCTATTGGCATTGTCAGTCAATTTATTAGTGCCCCACATTCTGTACACTATGCTTCCTTATTACGGATTCTTCGGTATCTCCGGGGTACTAGCACTCGCTCTCTTATGTTTCCTGATACATCTAAGTTAGAGCTTTGTGCATATTCTGATACTGATTGGGCTGGTAATTCCACTATCAGGAAGTCTATCACAGGTTATTGTATATTTCTTGGTAATTCCCTAATTTCCCGACGGAGTAAGAAACAAGATATTGTTGTTCTTTCCAGCACCGAGGCAGAGTATCGTGCAATGTCCACAACAGCTAAAGAGATTATTCATCTTCGTTGTCTTCTCAGTGATTTCGGTATTTCTGTTTTGACTCCTACTCCTCTATACTATGATAATAAGAGTGTCATCCAGATTGCTAATAATCCAGTATTTCATGAGAGAACCAAACACATAGAGATCAATGCTCATTTTGTCCGTCAACAAGTTATCAAGGATAAGACAATTCTACTTCCTCATGTATCATCCGCCGACGAGCGTGTTTAGTCCTACATTAGTTGTGAGAACACACCTCACCCTCCTATACTTGTATAAATATATGTGCACACTCAATATTAATTCAACTCAAAAGTAAAATTTACCTAAGCCTTTCTCTCTTTTACTTTAACATTTCTTCTACCAAATAATAAATGGAGGTTCTTATAAACTTGAGAAAGAAAGCACACATGGAGATTGATGAGAATGACACAAAAGTATCCATGTGATTGAAGTTCAGACAGGTGTCTCCAAATTAACTTTGGAGGGTTAAGTATCTGTCAACAAAAATGACAGGAAAGGGTATATATGCAAAATCTAAGTTGTTTCCAAGAAATGAGAGGAACATAAATTATGGGCTCCGAATATATATATTTTTTACAATATATAATTATGAAACCAGTTGTATATCCTTATTAAATAGAGAAAGCGAGTGATAGAACCGAGAAACGTCTGTACTTTTAAAATTATAACAAAAAATGCTATATTTAAAAGGAAAAAAAAAACAAGTTTGAAGTAAAGCTCTTAAATTATCGATTTTCCAATGGGTGCCCATGGACAGTTCTTAGAAGCTTGAATTATTTAAAAAACTTCCTCCAAACATATCATATAAGGTAACCTGTAAATAATTTTTCAGAAGAAAAACTCATAAAAATCTAGGTTAAATCATGCAAAACTTGAATAGCCATAGCTAAAATCCAATTTAAAAGCACGCTCAGAGAGAAAACACTAAAAAATGACATCCATATGAAACTTCGTAAATGATTTAAAACAAGTCGGACTTTTCACATATATGTGCTCCCACTCTAGTGTATTTATGAGCTTACCCTCATAGTCTAGATATTTTTAGTTTATCCTCCAAATCTCAAACATTGATTTATTCTGCTCCTCAGTTTTCAAATAACTAATAGGCATTTGATGAAGGAAATTAACAGAGCAAGAAAGCAAATGATATGTGAGAGGAAGGATAGATAATTTATTGATCTGAAACTTTTTCTTATATAGGCTTACATAAGAAACATTATTCATAAACTGCTTGGCCAAAAAATCAGGAAATAACTAACAAATCTTCTAGCTATAACTTGCTAACAACTTCAACAACTACTAAATCTCCTTTTGATTTAAAAACTAACAGACTTTGAATCATTCTCCAACACTCCCCCTTGATTCAAAGTTGGTAATGAACAAACGAGTCCTAAGTGTTTCAAACTTTGCTCGTGGCAGAGCTTTAGTAAACAGGTCGGCCAGCTGTTCATCTGATTTGCAAAATTCCATCTTGATTTCTTCCTTTGCAACAAGTTCTCTAATGAAGTGATACTTGATTTCTATGTGCTTTGTTCTTCCATGCATAACTGGATTCTTTGTCATGGCCACAGCAGACATGTTATCACAGAAAATTTCAGTAGCTTGTAGTTGCTTTTGATTCAAATCATTAAGTAGCCTTCTCAGCCATACTGCTTGACAAGCAGTTGTTGTAGCTGCGACATATTCTGCCTCTGTTGAAGATAATGCTACAGTTGATTGCTTCTTTGAAGCCCACGTAATTGCTCCTGAACCAAGCACAAAACAATTCCCAGTTGTGCTTTTTCTATCATCCTGTGAGCCTGCCCAATCACTATCGGTATAACCTGTCAACACAAACTCATCTTTCTTCAAGTACCATATTCCAAGATTTTTAGTACCAGCTACATATCGAAGAATCCTTTTTGCTGCTCCAAAATGTTGTTTTGTTGGACTGTTCATAAACCTTGAGATTAAGCCAACTACAAAGGCTAAGTCTGGTCGAGTATGTGTGAGATAGATGAGTCTTCCCACTAGGCTTCTGTACTTTCTTGCTTCTGTCATTCCTGTGCCATCCTCAGCTGTCAACTTCTCATTCACATTCATTGGAGTTGCTGTAGGTTTACAGCTTAGCATGCCAAACTGCATTAAAAGATCAGTAGTATATTTCTGTTGTGAAAGAAATATACCATTCTTGGTTTGTTTAATTTCCAAACCAAGAAAGTAGTTGAGTCTTCCTAAATCTGTCATCTCAAACATACTCATCATGGCATTCTTAAATTCATCAATAAGCTGCATAGATGATCCTGTATAAATTATGTCGTCGACATATAAGCTAACCATAATAAAATCTTTCATACCTTGCTTCTTTATGTATAATGTTGGCTCATTTGGACTTCTCTGAAAACCATTCTGATGAAAGAACTCATCAATCTTGCTGTACCATGCTCGAGGGGCTTGCTTCAAGCCATATAATGCTTTTCGCAGTTTGTACACCTTGTTCTCTTCACCAGGAATCACGAATCCTTCTGGTTGCTGCACATACACTTCTTCTCTCAAATCTCCATTAAGAAACGCAGACTTAACATCAAACTGAAATACAGTCCATTGTAACTGAGCTGCAAGTGCAAGAATCAACCTGACTGTCTCGATTCTTGCTACAGGTGAGAATGTTTCTTCAAAGTCAACTCCAGGTTCTTGAGCAAATCCACGAGCCACCAATCTGGCTTTGTGCTTCTGTATGCTCCCATCAGAATGATATTTGGTCTTGAATATCCACTTCAAACTAATGGCCTTCTTTCCTTCTGGTAAATCTGTAAGTTTCCAGGTCTCATTCCTTTCAATTGCTGATAATTCTTCTTTCATTGCCTTCTTCCACACTTCACTTTCCATTGCAGATTCTACACATCCTGGATCTTTAGCAAACATTGCAAATGTACAAACATCAGTATCATCTTCTCCTTCAATCTGAAACTTGCGTCGAGGAATTAGGCCACGCTGACTCCTACGCAACTGAGGAGTCTCCTCCTCATTTTGAATCTCATTTTGTGAAGTCTGTGAGCTACTACTGCTAGCTACTGGATCACACTCAACTTCTTCATCCCTTGTTTTCTCCTGTTCTTCATGAGATGGTATGTTCAGGATGGGAGTTTGCTTTGCACCAGTTTCTTCAAAATTCAGTTTTTCATCAAACTGAACATCTCGACTAACAACAATTTGCTTCTTCTCTGGGTCAAACAACCTGTATGCCTTTGAATTGGAGCAGTAACCAACAAAAATATACTTCTTTGTCTTTGAGTCAAGTTTATGTCTATGAGAAGTCACTAAAGCATAGCACAAAGAACCAAAAATTCGAAGATGACTCACAGATGGTTTAAATTCATACCAGGCTTCAAAGGGTGTCTTGTTCCACACTGCTTTTGTAGGAGAAATGTTGATCAGATAGACTGCAGTAGCAACAGCTTCTGCCCAAAATTCATCTGAGAGATTCTTTGCTTTTATCATGGAACGGGCCATTTCAACCACAGTCCTATTTTTACGCTCAGCTATGCCATTCTGTTCCGGGGTATAGGGAGCTGTAAGATCCCTCTTGATTCCTTGCTCTTCACAAAACTTGTTAAACTCTGTGGAACGAAATTCTCCTCCTCTGTCAGTTCTCAACACCTTCAGTTTCTTACCACTTTGCTTCTCTACGAGTGCCTTAAATTTCTTAAAACACTCGAGTGCTTCAGACTTGTGGATGAGAAAATATACCCAACACATTCTTGAGAAGTCATCAATAAAGAGCAAAAAATACTTACTACCAGCATGTGATTCTGCCCTCATAGGACCACAAATGTCTGCATGTAGTAGTGCAAGCTTCTCCTCTGCTCTCTTTGATTGTCCTACAGGAAAAGACCTTCTTGTTTGCTTTCCTAGAGCACAACCATTGCACACATGGTCCAATCCCTTGATTGTAGGTAAACCCTTTACCATTCCTTTGCTTGCAAGTAGTTGTAAACCCTTGACATTAAGATGGCCATAACGCTGATGCCACACTTCAGAGTCATCAAATCTGCTGCACATCATTCCATGAATTTCTTTGTAGAAGAAATTTATGGGAAACATCTTGTTTTTACTCATCTTGGTCTGTAACAACACTTCACCTGTTTTTTTCTTAACAGTGCAAGCATTTTTCTCAAACATGACAGAATAACCAGAATCAACTAGTTGCCCTACGCTTATCAGATTATGAGCCAAACCTGGTGCATAGTGAACATTCTGAATCATCTTTTCTTTCCCATCAATGTTGACAGCAACAGTTCCTTTTCCTTCGATTTGAACCTGCTTGTCATCTCCCAATCTGACCTGGGATTTTTGTGTCTCATCTAGCTCCTTGAACTTTAACTTATCACCTGTCAAGTGATTTGAACACGCACTATCAAGATACCAAGTTTCTTTAGAGGTAGCTTGGGGACTTACATCAGTCATAAACAGGTAATCTTCTTCTTCTTCTTCTTCTTCTGCATATTGAACTTGCTTGTCTTTGCTCCAACAGTCACTTTCTTTATGTCCAAACTTCTTGCAGTAAGTGCACTGGATTGTACTCATTCTTCCACGTCCTCTTCCTCTAAATGCTCCTCTACCTCTGCCTCTGTTTGATGTGAACCTTGCTTGCTCCCCCTGAACTTGAAAAGCTTGCTCTTCTTCCTTGGCTATATTTCTATTGATTCTGGTCTCATGTGTTTGCAAAGATCCCATGAGTTCATCAACAGAATAGGTGGAGAGATCTTTAGATTCCTCTATGGCTGCAACCACATGATCAAACTTGGGAGACAGGCTCCTCAAAATCTTTGCAACAACAATCTCATCAGGCACTTTATCACCATATGCTCTCATTTGGCTAACAACAGATGAAATTCGACTAAGATATTCTTGTATTGTCTCATTATTTTTCATAATTGCTGTTTCAAGATCTCTTCTAAGAAATTGTAATTTCACTGTGATTACCTTGGCAGAACCTTGGTACTCAGTCTTGAGAGTGTCCCATGCCTCCTTTGCTGAGGTTGCTGCTGCAATCCTTGAGAATATAGAATCATCTAGTGCTTGTTGAATAAAGAACAAGGCCTTTGCATCTTTCTTAAGAGTCTCCTTGTTGCCTGTCTCTTCTGAGCTTGTTCCAGTGATCCCATTTTCAACAAGATCCCATAGATCTTGTGATTTAAAGAGAGTCTTCATCTTTACACTCCAGAATTCATAGGAATCACCTTTGAAAATGGGAATTTGAGGTTGAGAAACATTTACCGCAGAACCATTTGATGTCATCTTGCTGCTGGAATGAACGCCGAAGCCTAGGTTGCAACCTGGCTCTGATACCAAAATGAAGAAAATTAACAGAGCAAGAAAGCAAATGATATGTGAGAGGAAGGATAGATAATTTATTGATCTGAAACTTTTTCTTATATAGGCTTACATAAGAAACATTATTCATAAACTGCTTGGCCAAAAAATCAGGAAATAACTAACAAATCTTCTAGCTATAACTTGCTAACAACTTCAACAACTACTAAATCTCCTTTTGATTTAAAAACTAACAGACTTTGAATCATTCTCCAACATTTGACTAGAAATTTGGTTTTTCAGTTTTTGAATATGTTGAATCTCGTCAAGGACTTAATTTTGGAACAAAGAGAGGATAAAAGAATTTGGTTATGGGAGGCAAATGATATTTTCTCTGTTAAATCTTTCTATCAATTTCTTATTGATGGAGGTTTAAGATTTGATTGTGCAAATATTTGGAAACTTTCCATTTCTTTAAAAGTAAAATTTATGGTTTGGTTGGCTTTAAGACAAAGCTTAAATACAAAAAGATATTTTGGATAAAAAAAGAATTCATTTAGAGATGACTTGTTGTTTGTTCTCTAAATCAAAAGAGAGTCGTACACATTTGTTTGTTAAATGTGAGTTTGTATACTCACTTTGGAGATCTATTCAGTTCAAATTAAAAATTAGGATTTTTTTTTAAAAATAAAGTCCCTAAAGGAAGTTTGGATTAATTGGGTTGTTGGGGGAATGATGATTACAAAATGGAAAAAGATGTTATTATTTGTGCTCTTATTTGGTGCATATGGCAGGAGCGTAACGATAGTCTCTTTTCTAACAAGAAGAAGAGGTCTCTAGAGATTTTGAGTAAGATTTTAACTTTTTCAACATTTTGGCTAGGTTCTAAAAATATCACTGCTAGAGCGGCCATGTTGCAAGAGAGAAAAAGAAAGAGAAATGAGAGTTTGGGAGGCTTACAAGCTGCTGGAGCTGCAGGAAGTGAGAACAGGAAGAATTCGGTGAATCAGCTGGATGATCTTCGGCTGTAGTGTTCTAGTTGATATTTTGATGTTAAAAACTCTTGCTGAGTATGATACTTACTGCTATTTTAGTTTAGTAGTAGTAATTAAGTGTTTTGGGAGACCTAATACTTAGTGCAAAAGTGTTTTTTTATTTGTTTTGTAATTTTAGTTGGATCTGTGTGCACATCTTGGGTTGGGGATGTGCACATTATATGTAACAACCAGTTTATTAATTTAGCTGGCTGGATTACTGGTATGTAATCCATCATTTTTCTCAAAATTTTCAAATAACTAATATATATAATTAATTTTACTAATTTATAGTTAGATTTAAGCCAATCACCAATATCTTTCCTCCTCTCTCAATCAAATTAAAAATTAATGAAATTAATTAAATTCATCAGGGATATACCAGTGGTTTGAAAATTGAAGGGATAACTTATTTAGGAAGGAAGAAAAAAACAATATTGTAGATTTGAAGGGTAAACTAGCACAGAGGGTTGAATTTGAAAATATAATGGCCCTGGGGGTATATATGAAAAAACCCAAATAAGTAATTCCTGAACGCGGTTCTCGGCCCAAATATTAATATTGTGGTATATAAAGCTATGGACTCCTGTGTAACAGAATGCTCTCCCTCTCTCTCTCTCTCTCTCTCTCTCAAGCTCCCATGCTCCCCAAACTACCCATTATAGCAATCTCACTAACAAAGGTACAATTTTGCAAAATAACGCCCTACTTCTATTTTTGGTATCTTATCTCGTTTCCTTTATTTTTGTATTGTTAGGTTTTAATTTTTCCAGGGAGAAAAAGGGTTTTTTTTTGGAGAATTCTTGAGCAGCGATGGGGATGTCTGTAGATAATATTCGTGGGTTATTGTTGGCTCTTTCATCGAGCGTCTTCATTGGCTCCAGTTTTATCATCAAGAAGAAAGGATTGAAGAAAGCAGGGGTTTTGGGGGTCAGAGCAGGTTTAATTCTTTCAATTTCATAAGGTTAAAGTTTTTTTTTTTTTTGGATTTTTGGGGGTTTACTCATCTGGGTATTTTTTTGTTTTTGTTTCTGGTTATGTCAGCTCAGATTTTTTTTGGGGTTTTTTCCATCTTGGTTATATAAAATTGTGAGGAGAAATGGCTGGAAAATTTACGATTTTGGCGTTTACTTTGTTCTTTCTCTTGGGACTTTCAATCTGGGTATTGTTTATTTCATCATGAAACAATGTATTTTTGTTCCCATGGAATTATTTTTTGATTATTGTTCCTTTTAGTTTCATTTCTCTTTCTCTTTCACTTTCACCTAAGGGATTGCTTTACGTGCTTTCATCTCCTTTCTGTCCTGTCAATTTCCCTTTAACCCAAGAAACCTTTCGGCTTTCTTTGGTTGATGGAAAGTAGTGGAAAAGAAAAGAAGTTAAGAAGATAGAAAAGAAGAAGAAGAAGAAAAACCCCAAAACAATTCTTCACTTTTCATCTCTCTATCATATGGAAGGAAAATATTTATTAATCAATATACGTTTAGCTCATACCATTGGTGTCAAACACAATGTGCAGATTTTGCTATTAAGATATACAAGACATTTCGGGGATTTGTACCGTACCTATTGTGTTTTGAATTATGATTTCCTAATCTATTTGCTACAGGGTCTGGAGGATTCTCATACTTATATGAACCTTTGTGGTGGGCTGGAATGATCACAAGTAAGTGCAAGGCACTAAGATCAAATTCTCTAGTTGCTAGTTGAGGATTTACAATGTTGTTGAACACAATTTTCTTGCTGATTACTTTGGATAGATGCCTGTGCTGTTTTAGTTGAGGTCTCACTAAGGGGGATATAATATGTTGATGTATCGAATATTTTAGTTAAAGTTTTACCGAAAGAAGGAAGAATGATAGAAACAGGCGATATTGACTTCAGTGAGGCCTTGTTGACGATTGGATTACGATTGATCTTTTTTTGAGTAAAACAAATAGTGTTTCTATTTTAGTCACCTTGTGTTTGGATGGTTACATCTGTTTGTTTTATTAGCATTACTAATTCGTAGAGGAATACACTAAATGTACGACTGCTCACATATGAGTAAATAGAATATAATCCAATATTAAAAGAATATACCCATATCAAATAACATGCTATTTTAGTTGAGCTTTCCTCATGTTTGTCCTGATTTGTACTGGTCTGTCAAAACAAGAAAAGATTGTTATAGCTAGAAGCCAACTCTTAAAGCTTAGAATTGTTTGCGTCATCAAATGGCATGGTCATTTTATTTTTATGAATGTCATGTTTGTAAGCTCTTGTTTTGTTCTTTTCTTTTCCTTCTTTTTCATTTATCATTTTAGACTTCGTACAAGGATTACACTGTTATGCTTATTATCTAATATTCAAGGATAAAAGAGACGTCAAAGGGAGTGGGAAGAACAACTAAAATCTCCGGATTCCAATTTGATTTGCTTCTTTGGATATGTCACTGATCACTTTCTATTTAATTAGTAGATGAACGTCAAAACATATTTATTTTGTTTGATGACCTTCAACACAAAGTAAATGTTTAAGCTAGTAAATCCTAACTATTTGATAATTATTCAAACAACTTCCAACTATACTAGCAAAAAGAATTCCGTGCAAGGAAGAGTATCTTCCGGGCTGTTCAAACTTGTATTCATTTGTATATGTTATTTTCTAGATTAAACGACACAAGGATGTTACTATCACCTAACTTCTTGCAAAAGTTTTTTGCATCCTCATATATAATATTTTTGTGACCTAATCAGTTATCGTAATTCAATTTCTTATGTTCTTCTTAAGCATTTCTAGCTAAGACATTTTGACTCTATAATCTTTCCCAGTGATTGTCGGTGAGGTAGCTAATTTTGCTGCATATGCATTTGCTCCAGCGATTCTTGTAACTCCACTTGGAGCTCTTAGTATTATTGTGAGGTATGTTACTATTTGACACATCTCATCAGCGAAAATGCCTTTTACAATCTTTATACTGAAATGTTTCTTTATTGCAGCTCAGTGCTAGCACATTTTTGTTTGAATGAAAAACTGCATGTATTTGGTATTCTCGGCTGCATTCTTTGTGTGGTGGGTTCTACAAGCATTGTATTGCATGCACCAAAAGAGAGAGCTATTGAATCTGTGAAGCAAATATGGTACCTTGCTATTGAACCAGGTAGTTTGAACATATGATAGTCTCATATTAGCACTTTGCTTATATGCCCTGTTGTTCGCCTAATCTTTTGTCAATTATAGTGGTTACTGGCACAAAGACCCCTTTTAATATTGCTGTTTTGCATTTACAACCCATGTGTTTCATTGTCGCATATAGACTCCGTTAGGTTAAATTATTTTTGACTTCTTTTCCCTTGGTAAAATTTTGGCAAAGATTTTTCCCCTGGTTGAAATTAGTTAGCCTAGCTGACGGTAAAAGAGTCAAAAAATTTAACCTAGGGGTTGATCTGCGACAATGAAACTACAGGGCAGTAAGTGCAAAACAACAATACTATAGGGGGCTATGTGCAATAAACCCCAATTATAATGATAGTGTTCCCATTTCAAGCATATCCTTAGATCGAATATCATTATTACTAATGATGGTGTTCCAATTTCAAGCATATCCTTAGATCGAATATCATTATTACCAATGCATTCAAACATGGTGCATATTGTTATCTTTAGATTCCTATTTCCGTACGCTTGTTGCATTTTGCATGCATTTTCTTGTCATTTCAATTTTTAGAATTACTAACCTCTGCTCCTACAGGTTTCATTGTTTATTCTTGTGTGGTTGTTCTTTTGGTTATCATTCTCATTTTCCGCTACGTGCCACGATATGGTCAGACTCATATGCTTGTGTACATTGGAATTTGCTCACTGATGGGCTCTATAACGGTATTGCTTCTAAAATTTCATGATCTTATCCATTCAAAGTTTACCTCTTTTCACTCGGTGGTTTTTTGAACAGGTTATGAGTGTGAAAGCATTGGGGATTGCCTTAAAGTTATCATTTGAAGGATCAAATCAATTTAAATATGTCCAGACTTGGTTTTTCAGCTTTGTCGTAGTTATCTGTTGCCTCACTCAGATGAACTACTTAAACAAGGTAACTATAAATTTTTAAAGCCACAACTTCAAAACTTGTAATTTTATTTGAATTATTCAGAAGGTTTACATAAATGCGCTTCACAATCAATTCCTTACATCCCATTTGTTAAGGGCATTGTTTTTGCAATTATATAAAATGTTTGTTTTGGGATGTAAGTTTGCTACTTGCTTTGTATTAGTAGATCATATTTCATCCGCTAGATGCATCTCAAAGCACTTTGTACAAGTATTGTATTTGCAGGCCCTACCTCTCAAACTAAGCTGGCTAAAAGATGAAAGCAATTATTATTCCCCTATAATCTTTCTGTTCGACTAATTTAACATTAATGGGAGTCCTAATTAACTTCAAATTGCCTGTTTCTATTTACCTAATAAACATTATAATACTCTGCCTCTAAAGCAGACAGAACAGTTGTCAGCTCAGCTGTAGAATCGCCTTCTTATAAATGACAGAACCAAGAGTGGAAACATGATGTGTCAGAAGTCTGTGGACCAAACTGCCCATAAAATCTGAATCAAAATAAGCCAAAATTCTGCAAACAGAATCTATTTTCCTCGTAAATCATAAACCAATAGCAGCAAATACTCTCCAAGTATCTAGAAAAACCATTTCACTACCTGCCAATGAATCTTTCCTGGTTTATATTCATATGCCGGCTCACAACACTGGCTGCAGGTGGAATATCTGGAGCAATTAGTAATCAGTCATTAATCAGATGCTTCAAAATGATGAAAAAAACAATAGATATATTCCTTCCAGTCAGATCTCCACCTATTCGATTGCACGTGTAAGCAAATATTATTGCCAAGGTGAAATCTTTTATCCAAAATAAATGACATGCAACAGATCGATTATCCATACATGTCAACTTTCTCAAGGATGGCATATCACCACAAAGTTCTAATACAATACTCTAGTTTCACTAGTTCATTGAAGTACATAGTTTATAAATCATCCCCTCTGTTGTTACTTACTCCAAATTTTGCTTCAACCATGCAGGCATTGGATACCTTTAATACTGCTGTGATATCTCCTGTTTATTACGTGATGTTCACTTCCTTCACCATCTTTGCGAGCGTTATCATGTTTAAGGTGATGCAGGATATTCCACTTTATTCTCTTAAAGGCTATAAAGGCTTTGTTAATTTAGAGTGCCATCAGAAGTTTATTGTTCTTTGATGCGTATCAAGTAAAGCTTGCTCATCTACTCCTGTAGATTCTCTCACACCTTTCATATTATGACTAAGGGGGTGTTTGGAACCGGAAAGTACATGGAAAATGACAAGGGAAAAGAAATGCTTTCTCAAGAAAATATTTTGACTTTTGATTTGTTGCGAATTTTTTTAGAGCAAAATACGCCTCTGGCGCACATAACAACTACACCAACAATCGCTACTGGCGCACATGAGAATCGAACCCAGGCTCCTCCACGGGGAGCGACACGGCTTTGCCATGTGACCTAGGAAAATACGGCTTTTGCATATATATCATTTCAAATATTTTGTTGCAAATCTTGGATGATAGAAAGTGAAAATATGGAAAATTAAGGTGGCAGTTGAGGTGACATCCACTTCTTAATAGTGTTTTTTAGTTGCTATGAGAATGGATACTGGAACATTAAGGTGGAGAGAATAAAATTTAATTTCTCTTTCTTCTCAGTTCACTTTCCGGCCACTTTCTCAAAAACTTTGAGAATGTAAAGGAGGGGGGAGAAACTGATATGAGATTCCACTTTCCATTCACTTCTCAACAACTTCATATGCTTACCATTTACTTTCTGGTGGCCAAACACGCCCAAAAGTCATATCTGCATCTAATCCAACTATCCATGGATCATGCGTTGACAAATGTGCTTCAATATCCAGGACTGGGCCTCGCAAAATGCCACACAGATAGTGTCGGAGTTGTGTGGATTTGTTACAATTCTTTCCGGGACTTTCCTTCTTCACAAGACAAAGGATATGGGCAACACTGTGACAGGAGAACCAACTGTTCTGAACGAAACAGAAATGATAGTGACAACAGAACCAACTGTTCTCCCAAAACGGTGATTATATCGTTCTCGAGTTTCTGCAGTCGATCAAACAGCCTTCCTGAAAACTTGTCAAAGCATATAATTTTGGTGATAGAAGCTGATGTAGAAAATACTAGAGGGGAAAAGAGTGTTGTTACACTTGAAATGATAGTGACATTCATATAAAGAATAGTCACGGACAGAGATTTTTTTTCTGGCAGAGAGAGTTCCGACGTTAGGAAACTCGATGTTCATAGTTGAGAAGTGTACAAAAAGCATGTTGATTACAGTCCATAGATCAAAATGAGGA